TATACTCTGAGTGATATATTCTGTGCTGTATCTTACCGTCATGATTTTAGGAGTTCAGGAGAAAATGGGCATAATGAATAAAGGAGTCATTTATGCACTTTGGGATTATGAACCTCAGAACGATGACGAGCTGCCCATGAAGGAAGGCGACTGCATGACAATCATCCGCAGGGAAGACGAGGATGAAATTGAATGGTGGTGGGCACGCCTGAACGAGAAGGAGGGATACGTGCCGCGCAATTTGCTGGGAGTAAGTTATTCTAACATTAGGATGTTCTTATGTGTGTCAGAGAGAGGCTTCGTGAAAACTGCTGTGTGTTACGGATACAGTGCAGCCTACTGCCCCTTGTTAATGAGACATGGAATTTTACATTTTTGATAGTCTGAGATGTAGACTTAAGGCCACATTTTCAGTGATTCCTGTCATGATCAATAGAGGACTGGGGTCCTGTCTACGTTTATAGAGTAAAGATAACTGGATAATGTGATGGGAATTGAACTAATGACATTTGAAATAAATTTTAAATTTGTTTAAATCAGGATTTGGAGATCTGGTAGAGAGCTTGAATAGGACACTAAACACAAAATTCTTTGTTTTTTCTCTACTATTTGATTTTAAGTTTCATAAAAGCCCTGAAAATAATAAAATCATATAAGTATGTGTAAGCCAATAACACATCTATATTAGTACAAGGGGACTGCTCTCATCAGGTAGATTCTCAGGAGTATTTTCAGGGAAAAGGCTGCTTATGGTCTAGAGGAAAGAAAGTGAAATAACATCTTTCAAGACTTTGCATTAGGCTCTTGTATAGGTTCCGTTATTCCCTTATATGGTTGTATGTACCTAGAGGGCTTGCTGGATGTGTGAAAGAGAGGGAGAGAAGTGATGCAGATAATTGAGAGACTGAGATAAAAGTTTAAAGGTACAAGTGCTTGTAAAATCTGCCGTTGGGGGGGAAGTAAGGAGAGTGAGGGAGGGAAGGGCCAATGTAACATACAACATATGCTACAGGTCAGGAGCGCTGGCTTCCACATCACTTCAGATCCCCCTGCATACGTGGTACCTGAGTGACCAGGGCCGCGGGAGGAAGGTCGGGAGGGCTGGAGAAGGCTGCCTCCTAGGATGGGTGTGAGGATAAAGCAGGAGTCTAATATATCGCAGATGGGAGATATTTTTATTGGTATTGTCATCAACAGTCGGACAGACATAGCTGCGCCCACACAGAGATTCTACTCGGGTGCTGAGGCCATGAACCAGGGTTCTGCTGGGAATGTTCCACTGCCGGGCTCTGCTTTCTGTGGGGGTCGTTAAAATGGCACCAGTGTTGCGACCTGGCTGTCCGGATCCTGCCCAGCATCTCCTCCTCCTGCCTCCTCCTTCTCCATTGTTGTTTGTCTGATGTGCAGTATAAAGGACATCATCGCATCCTGACTGCTGCCTTCCTCATAGCAACATTTATTATTAAATAAGCGTTTGGGGTGTAGACAGTATTCACATGGTCATAACGTAAATTATAAAGAATAATGAAAGTGAAAAAACATTAGGCCGTGGAGGCTTTAAAAAAGCTTTCACGTGACCAGATGCCAGTAGAAATGTGAAGGTTGTTCTCTCTCCAGCACCCGTGTTTGCTTCTACGAAGTCTCTGGCACCAGAGGAGTGTCACCTCCCGTATCAGCCACTTGCCTTCTCTGATAAACATACATGGCAAACAGGCCCTTTCACTTTTTATGGTTCCTTGTCTGGGAAAAGCTCTACCGCTTAGAGCTGGTTGCTTATTTGAGTCTTTCTTTTTAACTTTCTGACAAAGAGCTCCTGTGGTGAATGAATCATGGAGAGACTTGTTCCTTCCCAAGTATGGAAGCAGTTGGTCACAGACTGAGTTCTGCCCTGTGTGTTTGGCTCTCAGAAGGTTCCGAAATCAGCAGACTGGACTGCAGATTTCCATTTTAATCCGACACTTAAATATTTAGTTCTTTGGAAATCTTTTCTAGGTAGAAATGGCTTCTAAACCACTTTTTTTGCTTTCTTTTGAGGTTTAAAACAAAGGAAATTGTATAAATATTGAATTTTTAGTCAGAGGCTCAGATAATGAGTCTAGAAAATTGTATTGGCTCAATATCTTTTCTCAGAGAGAAGAATAATCCTTTGTATAGCATCAATCCACCAGTTAGTTTTTCGGTTTTGGCTGAAGTGTGCCTACTTCCTTTCAGTAAACCTTTCTTTCCCTTTGTCTACGGAAGGAAGAGGCAGAGGAGGGGTTTTGTTTAGTTTGCCAGTTGAATTACTAGTTTGACTCGCTCTTGGCTTCGAGACTGGCGATCTTTTGACCTTCACGAACACGCTTCTCTCCAGCTCGTTTGGAAAACACAAAGCCACAAAATCCTAAAACAAAAACCTCCACTTACTGTTTCCTTAAATCTGGAGACTTTTATTTAATCTGTGGCATTTCGTTCCCTGACAGTCTCAAGTCCTGTGACACCGTGTTTTGTCTGTTGTGAATAAAGTTGAAACAGACTTGAATCTCTCAGTTTTGCTCTTGGAATGGAAGCCCCAGACGCTGGAGCATACAGCACATTGCAAGTCACCTTTAGAAGTTGTCTTTCTCTTTAGACTTGATTTATAGTTCAGCAAGCTGTGCAAATTGTGATAATGCTTAGAGCCGTCATGGATTTTTATATCACTGCACCATGGTATTGTCACCACTGAGGGACCCCTGTGACTCTTGACTGTCCTTTGCAGAATAGCTGATTAGAAGAGTTGTTAAATGTGAGTCTTTGTGTAGTCAGGCGGCTCTGGGCGCTTCATGTAGCAGAAAGTCGTTTCCCAAGTTTAATTTCTTTACTGTGACATCAACTCCCCCACCCCCCAGTATTTCTTGAAATTTTGTTGTACTCCCACATGTCTGTAACAGACTGTAAATATTTTTTAAACTCTCTTACAGCTATACCCAAGAATTAAACCAAGACAAAGGAGCTTGGCCTGAAACTTTACAGAATTTGAGTTAATGAAGAATTAATCTCTGTTACCACTCAGAAGAAGTACATATGATTGTTTTTGGCAAAAAATTCACAAGACTTATTTTAATGACAATGCACCTTGAAAGCAATGAAGAATGTACTCTGGAAGAAAATGAAGGATCGAAGAATTCACTATTCTTGGAGGACATTCAGCCAATGAAATGGAGCTTAGGAGTAAGCCGACCGTACATTGGGGTAAAGGTGTTGTTCCATGTAGCGCTCAGAAAGATGTAGTGACAATCTTGTTTTCCGCAAGAAATAGGACCATTTATTGGGCTACTGGGAAATCAGCTTCGTGTCCAGCTTAGTTGGCGTTTTCAGCACCTGCCCCTGTGCCTGTCCTCCCACGAGAAAGGACCATTGTCATCGTGGCGCCGTCTCTGATTGTCCCCCAGCACCAGCAGGCCCTCGGGACTCACGTGAAGGCTCGAAGCTGCCACACACTTGTGTATTGTCAGTGAAGAACTGTTGGTTGTCAGTGAGCAATAACTTCATTATATGAATTCTTGTAGCATCTTAAGAATTATACATACATTTGAAATATTGAAACTAAGCTACACTACAAGTAATTAGATTTAGAATCTTGTTTTTAGGCTGAATTTGAATCTATATTTATTGTCTTTTGTATCTTGGAAATTAGACTTGCCATAGACTCACCCATAATATTTGTCAAGATCATAGCTGACTTTAAAAACAGTTGTAATAAAATTAAGCTTTTTGACTTGAAGCTTTTTACTGGTTTTAGTTTTTGATGTCATTTAACAGCCTTGTTTAAAGTTCACAAGCCACTGTGGTGTCTTACCCAGATGAAAAGAATGTTTCTTTACCAGCCATGTGATTAAATGTTAAGAAGTATTTCTTTGCTTACAGAAAAGTGTGTTTTGCAATTCATGAGTTTTGTGGTGGTCTTTGATATAGAATTAGTTTTTTTAAAAAAGATCTTAGAGATCATGGTGACAGAGACCATGGTGACAGAAACTTGTACTTTTATCTAAAGTCTCTAATAGACTGTTCCAGTGTCCTCATTTTATTTCAAATTCTTCATAGAGTTATATACATTGGTTTATGGGATGAAAACTTTAATATAGACGCAGTCTCCACATTGTTTTATTAATTTGTTACCAAGTTTGTGAATTCTTTAAGAACCCGTTTTGCTTAGTGGAACTTTTTTTTTTTTTTTTTTTGAGGAAGATCAGCCCTGAGCTAACATCTATGCTAATCCTCCTCTTTTTGCTGAGGAAGACGGGCTCTGTGCTAACATCTATTGCCAATCCTCCTCATTTTTTTTCCCCAATGCCCCAGTAGATAGTTGTATGTCATAGTTGCACATCCTTCTAGTTGCTGTAAGTGGGACGCGGCCTCAGCATGGCCGGAGAAGCGGTGCGTGGGTGCGCGCCCAGGATCTGAACCTGGGGCCGCCAGTAGTGGAGTGAGCACTTAACCGCTAAGCCACGGGGCCGGCCCGGAACTATTTTATTTAATAGAAGACACAAATGAAAACCAATGGTCACTTTCCCTTATACTTTTTTGTAAGTAGCTATATTCTAGCAAGAAAAGTGGATGAAAGACAGAACATACCATGCCTTTCAGAGCAATGGGGACATAGTGACAACGTGAACGAAAGGTCAGAAGATGTGTGGTAGGCAGAATTCTAAAAGACCCCTTTGCCCCCATATTCTTGTCCCCTGGCACTATGGACTGAATGTTGGTGTCCCCCTAAAATTTGTGTGTTGAAGCCCTAACCCTCAATGTGATGGTATTAGGAGGTGGGGCCTTTGGGAGGTAATTAGGGTTACATGACGTCATAAGGGTAGAGCCCCCATGATGGGATTGGTATCCTTATAAGAGAAAGAGACCAGAGCTCCCCCTTTCTCTGTGCCATGTGAGGATACAGCAAGAAGACTGCCCTGCAGGCCAGGAAGAGGGCTCTCACCAGACACTGCATCTGCTGGCACCTTGATCTAGCACTGCCCAGCCTCCAGTACTGTGAGAAATAAATGTCTGTTGTTTAAACCACCCAGGCTGTGGTATTTTGTTACAGCAGCCTGAACAGAGTAGGATAGCTGGTTATTCAATCAAACACTAATGTAGGTACTGCTGTGAGAGACTTTTCAGGTTTAATTAAATTTACTAATCAGCTGACCTTAAAATAGGGAGATTCTCCTGGATATCCAGGTGGGCCCAGTGCAATCACGTGAGCTCTTCAGAACAGGAGAGATGAGGCAGAGAGGGAGGTCAGCGAGATTGGGAGTGAGAGAAGGACTCAGCCTGCCATTGCTGGCTTTGAAGATGAAGGGGGGCATGAACCAGGGAATGGGGAAGCTGAGAAGAACCCCTGGCTGACAGCCAGCAAGGAAGTGGGGACCTCGGTCCTGTAGCCACATGGAACTGAATTCTGCCAACCTGAGTGGGCCTGGACACAGATCCTCCTCAAGTCTCCAGTAAGGGATGAACTAGACCGATGAGATAGGTGTCGGACTTCTAACCTACAGCACTGGGAGATGTTGGGTTTTTTTTGTTTTTTGTTTTTTTTGTGTGTGTGAGGAAGATCGGCCCTGAGCTAACATCTGCCAATCCTCTTTTTTTGATGAGGAAGATTGGCCCTGGGCTAACATCCGTGCCCATCTTCCTCTACTTTATATGGGACGCCACCACAGCATGGCTTGACAAGCGGTGCGTCGGTGTGTGCCCGGGATCCGAACCTGCGAACCCCGGGCCACCACCGCGGAGCGTGCGCACTTAACTGCTTGCGCCACCGGGCCGGCGCCTGGGAGATGTTTTAAGCTGCTAAGTTTGCGCTAATGTGTTACAGCAGCAATAGGAAGCAAATACCACATGGATTCCAGTCCTGGGCTGGAGCTCTTATTACTCGTATCAAGTGACCTCACCCAGGACACTGGACTTGCTGCGCCTCGAGTTCCTAATCTGAAATGGAGTTTAATGCCATCACCTCTACATACCCCAGGTAGCTGAGGGGAACTGTACTAAGTACCGTCCATGAAGGTGCTTGGTAAACTACAAAGAATTGCACAAATGTATGAAAAGAGAAGATGTGAAAATCAGGAAAACGTGATCATCTCAGGTTTATTTTCTTATCCGAAACCTAGAACATCGTTTGTTTTTATTCTCTCTTTTTGGTTTTTTACTCGTTTTATTATCAAAGGATCCTTATATCAAAGCTCCTTATAGAAATATTTAAAAGTACAGGAAAGGGCATTATGAAGCAGGAGAGAAAGACCATTCTAGAGGCCACCACAGCCAGCCCTGGTGGTCTAGTGGCTAAGATTCGGGGCTCTTACCGCCGTGGCCCAGATTCGTGTCCCAGTCAGGGACCCACACCACCCGTCTGTCTTGTCTTACTGTGCAGGCTGCATGTTGCTGGGATGCTGAAAGCTATGCCACCAGTATCTCTACCAGCAGGGTCACCCGTGGTGGACAGGTTTCAGTGGGGCTTCCAGACTAGACAGACTAGGAAGAAGGATCTGGCCACCCACTTCCGAAAAAATTGGCCATGAAAACCCTATGAACAGCAGCAGAGCATTGTCTGATATAGCGCCGGAAGGGGCGAGGATGGCAAAAGAGACCGGGCAGGGTTCTGCTCTGCTGTACACGGGGTTGCCAAGAGTCAGAATGGACTCCAAGGCACTAACAACAACAACAAAAGACAACCACTATTAACGTTAGGGCATATTTCCTTCTAGTCTTGTCTAATTTTTTCTCTTTACATAGTTGGGAGCATACTGTTTAAGCAATTCTGTATTCTGTTTTATGCCTGACACTGCATCATGAACATGATTTTTAATGGCTGCACAATATTCCATCATGCAACATTATCCAGTCTCTCTAATGTTGAACTTATGGCTGTTTTCCAGTTCTTGTGTAGTATAATTTGTGCTGTACTCACATCTTCATGGCAGCAGCATTTTTAGATTTTTGAAAAGTAAGGGGAGGGCCGGCTCCGTGGCTTAGCGGTTAAGTGCGCGCGCTCTGATGCTGGCGGCCCGGGTTCGGATCCCGGGCGCGCCCCGAGGCACCACTTCTCCGTCCAACCCGGGGCCGAGTCCCACGTACAGCAACTAGAAGGATGCGGACCTATGACGTACAACTATCTACTGGGGCTTTGGGGGGAAAAAATGAATAAATAAAATCTTTAAAAAAAAAAAAAAGAAAAGTAAGGGGAAATAGAGCTGAGGAATGGACTCTGCGCAAGAGGGTCGTGTGTAAACTTCAGCTGTGCTCAGAGTCTGAAGGCAGTGGAGCCACTGAGGGATTTTAACTAGGGGAGGAGCAGAGGCTGCACACGCAGGGAGAGTGAGAGTAAGCGAGATAACAGGACACCTGGGGGAAGAGCAGAGAGGGAATGCTGTGCAAGGTGGCAGATGACGACTGGTCCGTACTCATAGTGTCTGGCACTAGGAGGTAAGTGGTGATCATAAAAAGCAGCAGTTGTAGGGGAGTGGGAGGGCCGTTAGCCAGATTGCAGAAGGTGAAGGAGTCCCTGTGAAAGGCAGAATCAGGATCCACCAGGGACAGCTGCTCAGGAGGCGTGCTCGTGGTGGGGTGGGGGAGGTGTAAGTGCACTTCAGAAGGTGGTGAGCACTTTGGCGTGCTTAAATCCCGTGGGAAGAAGAATTGAAGGCGGAGAGGGGCTAGGTGATCAGCCTGAGACTTGAATTCAGAGCAGAGATTGGGGAGGGCTTTCTTCACAGCCTGGGGGAAAGGAAGCAGTGGGGGGGTCAGGTTTGGGTGACCTACAGGGTCAGAAAGTTGAGGGCATGTGCTTTGTTGATCATCGATTTTTTTTCTCTGTAAAATAGGCATTGGCAAAGCTTACGTTATATGGGGAAACTCAGAGCACTTGAAAATTCTCTCCCCCTTTTCAGTCTTTTCTAAATTTGCTAAGATAAGCATATACCTTTTTTTTCACATTAAAAAAAATTTTTTTTTCCTGAGGAAGATTCACCCTGAACTAAAATCTATTGGCAATCTTCCTCTTTTTGTACGTGAGCTGCCACCACAGCATGGCCACTGACAGATGAGTGGTGTAGGTCTGCGCCTGGGAACTGAACCCGGGCCACTGAAGCAGAGCATGCTGAACTTAACCACTAGACCACGGGGGCTGCCCCACGTTGTTTCTTATACTGTGACTAAAATAGACTTTTAAGAAGCAGTGAACTAGGTCAGCTCTACAGATTAACGTGCAACAGCAGGGGCCGGGCACCCAGCACTGGAGTAAAGCTTTGGAGCAGCCCGTGGGTTGGGAGGGGCCTGCCTCTCTCCTCCCAATTCCAAATGCTCTAGGCACCACCCTCCACTCCCTGGGCCCTGGCCACACTACCCTTGCCCACGTCAATCCCGAGTCACTCCAAACACCTCACTCTAGCCGTAACCCTGCGCCACTGAAGCGAGAAAAAGG